AGGTGGGTGAGGGATGGGCTAAACAGAGGATGTGTATTAAGGAGAGCACTTGTGATGAATATTGGGTGTTATATGTAAGTGATGAATCACTAAATTCTAAATATTACACTATATGTTAACTAACTAAAATTTAAATAAAAATTCGAAAGAAAGAAAAAAGAAAACAAAGAATAAGTAAATAAATTGAGAGATATTCCATGTTTTGGACAGGAAGACTCAGTATATGAAGATATCAATTCTTCCCAACTTGATGTGCAGATTTAATTCAATATCAATTAAAATTCCACAAGTTATTTTGTGGCTATGAAAAAAATGGATTCTGAAATTTACAAGGAGAGACAAAAGACCTAGAACAGCCAATTCAATATTGAAGGAGGAAAAAAAAATTTGGATTGACACTACCTGGCTTCAAATTTACTATAAGCTACAATAATTAAAATAATGTAGTACTGGTAAAAGAACAAAGATTAATAGAACAGAATAGAGAGTCCAGAAACAGATCTACATAAATATAGTCAACTGCTCTTTGACAAAGGAGCAAAGGCAAACACAATGGAGAAAAGAAAGTCTCGTAAACATAGCATGCTGAAAGTAACTAGAAGACATCCACATGCAGAAAAACAAACAAACAAAAAAACCCAGACCTTACAACCTTCACAAAAATTAACTCAAATGTATCACAGACCTAAATATAAAATACAAAACTAGAAAACTAGAAAATGACAGGAGAAAAGTTTGATTACCTTGGTTATGGTGATAACTTTTTTAGATACAACACCAAAGACAAGTTTCATGAAATAAACAATAAGATGGACTTCATTAAATTTAAATATCTGCTCTGCTAAAGAAAATGCCAAGAGAATTAGAGGACAAAGCCACAGACTTGGAGAAAATACTTGCAAAAAACATATCCAATAAAGAAGTATTATCAAAAATATACAAGGAACTTTTAACAACACTAAGAAAACAATCAATCTGATATAAAAATGGGCAAAAGGGCTGGGGTACCCCCACTGACACAGCTGGTTAGGCATCAGTCTCTCAGTTTTCACTCAGGTCAAGATCTCAGGGTCATGAGATAGAGCCCCACATTGGGCTTCAAGCTCAGTATGGGGGCTGCTAAAACTCTCCCTCTGCCTCTCCCCACCCACAAACACATAAATAAATAAATAAATCTTTTTTAAACAATGTGGGGCGCCTGGGTGGCGCAGTCAGTTAACCGTTTAACTCTTGGTTTCAGCTCAGGTTGTGATCTCGGGGTCCTAATATCAAGCCCCGAGTTGGGCTCCATGCTTAGTGTGGAGTCTGCTTGAGATTCTCTCTCCCTTACCATACCCCTCCCACTCATGATCTTTCTCTCTCTCTCTAAAATAAATACATCTTTTTAAAAATGGGCAAAAGACCTAAACAACACCTTATCAAAGAAGAACAAATAACAAGCATTTGAAAAGATGTTCAACATTATATGTCATCAGGGAAATGAAAATTAAAACCACAATGAAATACTACTACACACCTATTAGAATGGCCAAAATCCAAAACACCAACACCACCAAATTCTGGTGAGGATGTTCTCACTCATTGCTGCAAGGAAAGCAAATTGATAGAGCCACTTTGAAAGACAATGTGGCAGTTTCTTACAAAATTATACATACTCTTACCATATGATCCAGGAATCAAATTCTTGGGTATTTATTAAATAGAGCTGAAAATGTAGGTCCATACAAAAACCTGCACATGAATATTTATGGCAGCTTTACTCATAATTGCCAAAACTTGGAAGCAATCAAGATGTCCTTCAGAAGGTGAAAGGAGAAATAAACTGTGGTGCATCCAGACAATGGAATATTATTCAATGCTAAAAGAAATGCGCTATCAAGCCATTAAAAGACATGCAGGAAACTTAAATGCTTAAATACTTACTACTAAGTAAAAGAACTTGAAAAGGCTATATATTGTATGATTGTATATATGACATTCTGGAAAAAAACAAAACTATGAAGAGAGCAAATGAAACAGTGGTTGCCAATCCTTAAGAGGGAGGGAAGGATGAATCAGCAGAGCATGGAGGATTTTTGTTCTCATGAACGGGATTAGTGTCCTAAAAGAGACCTTGGAGAGCTCTCTTGTCTCTTCTACCTTGTAAGGACATAGCAAGAAGACAGCTATTTATGAACCATGAAGGGGTGGGAGGAGCTACCCTTCCAAATACACCAGCATCTTGATCTTGGACTTCCCAGCCTCCAGAATTGAGAGAAATAAAAAAATAATGTTGTTTATAACCATCCAGTCTATGGTACTTGTTATATCTGCCCAAATGGACCAAGACATGAATAGTATAAAACAGAAAAAAAAAATAGTATAAAACAGAGAGTCCAGAAATTTACTAGAATAGAAATTAGTATGTGGCATTTCAAATCAAGGGAGAAAGAATAAAGGATATAAAAAAATAACATTGGGACAACAAGTCACACATTTAGAAAACAAAAATAAACATGAAATTATAAATCCATCAGACAAAAATTAATTCCAAATAGATTAAAAAATTAACTAAAGGGGCATGTGGGTGGCTCAGTGGCTTAAGCCTCTGCCTTTGGCTCAGGTCATGATCTCAGGGTCCTGGGATCAAGCCCCACATCAGGCTCTCTGCTCAGCAGGGAGCCTGATTCCTGCTCTCTGTCTCTCTGCATGCCTCTCTGCCTACTTGTGATCTCTGTCAAGCAAATAAATAAAATTTTTTAAAAAGTTAACTAAAACATCAATGCTATAATAATTTTAAACACATGTTGGTTTTTCAACTGGGCTAAATCTAGGTTATTGTTAATCAGGTAAGTTTCTGTTGTTCACAACCAAGAGAACTTGACACAGAACCCTGATCAGAATTTGGCATGGAATAGTAAACAAACAAACAATCGATGCAGAAAAAACACAATGAACAAAAAGATAAGCAACCATGAGAAAATATTAGCAACATATATAAACAAAGTATAATATCCATGTTATATTAAAAACTCCTATAGATAAAATTAACCTAATAGAAATTTGGACAATAGATATGAACAAATAATTAATAGAGGAAGAAATATAAATGTTTAATAAAAACATATGAAAAAATGTTCAACATCATTAGCAATAAAGAAACACAAATTAAACACCAAAGAAGTAACTTTTTTGACTCAAGAAAAAAGCAAAAATTTGATGGGATGCCTGGGTGGCTCAGTCAGTGAAGCATTCAACTCTTGATTTTGGCTCAGGCCGTGATCTTAGGGTCATGAGATCAAGCCCTGCATCAGGCTCCAAAATAGGCATGGAGCCTGCATGGGATTCTCTCTCTTCCTCTACATCTGCCCCTCTCTCCCCTTAAAAAAAAAGTAAAAATCTGAAAAACTCTAATATTAACAACAAGTAGGAAAATGGCCACTTTATAAACAATTGGCCAAATAAAAATTAACACTATCTTCTCAAAGGACAATTTGGTATAACATTTATTAGAATTTTAAATTGACTTTTCCTTTCTTTCAGCAACTTCATGTCTAGGAATTTATCCCACAGAAAATATACATACACAAGAATATAAATATAGGTACTGTCTGTAATAAGTATTGGAAATAATCTAAATGTTGAAAAGAAAAACAGTTAATTATAGCATATTCTTAGTAAGGAAAATGTAACAGATAAAAAGATAAATCTATATATATTAACACAGAACAATTTTCAATATATATAAATTAAGTGGCAAAAGTCACAGAATGATATATTTACTATATTGCTTATATTAAAAACTGGCCTATTAAAAGATAAAGGTTTTTAAATTATGTGTCTTATATAATACATTAGATATCTTAAAGAAATATATCTATAATGAGGGTAAAGGAACAACAAAGGACCTAGAAAGATATACACCAAGCCATTAAAAGCAATTTTATCTCCAGTAAGAAGAAATCAGAATAAAAAGGGAACTCTTGCCTTTTCTTCTATATACTTCTTTTATTTTGTGTATTTATATATGACTTATATAATGTAATATGTTATTAAAGAAGGAAAATGTAAATACGGCAAAGCAAAAGAATTTCTGCTCTGACAGGCAAAAATCCTCCAACTCTAAAATTTTAAACTGAATATTCAAACTTTTTATTTTTCTACCCAAATATTACAAAATACTTTATTATTCAGATTTGAAATTCAAGAAACTGTAACAAAATTTTCTTAGTAATAGTCTAAGAACTATCCGGTTCAATGGAGATTTAATGTAATTACAAAAAGGTATAATAAAATGTAATTGAAGTTCTTAATCCTAGGAGATCTAACAAAGTTCCTACTTTTACAAAGACATGATACTCATTACCTTCATTAATTCAAGATTTACTAACATCAACTGTTGATATTTTAAATGGAGAAATATTCACTTATAAAAAAGGAAAAGCCATAAAATACCAGCAAAACCCTTCTACAGAAGTGTCTGTATAAAACCACTGAGGTGTCTTTAAGCAGACTAAATTGCTTAATTTATTGATTCAACAGCATCAGGAACCCATTCTTCAATTTTATTCAAATTTCAGTGATTTAGAATCATGTACCAATATTAATGTTTTGGCATCCTTTTCAAAACATGAAAACCTTATTCTATAAATTTAAATGTTTGAGGCCATTTAAAAACAATATCAAGTATCAAAAACTACCAAAATTCACCTGGTTTTTGCTAGACAAATCTTCCTAATGATAAAATTAGGATATACATCTGGGGAAAATTAAAACTTGACCCATCTCACCACATAATTACTGAATTAACTGATTTCTAATTATTTAAATACATGTCTTAAAGAAATGCTCAAACTATAGTAATTATATTTAATAATTATTAATAATAAAATGAACTCAAATATATTAAATTGTAACATAACTGATACAGAGAAATTTTAGAAAAACATTCAAAGTCTATTTCTTTCCTGTACTTTTCTTTCAAACTAAATAAATGACAGAAGAGAATAATAGACTCTAACCTTTCTGTTTTGGATTCATTGTCAATTTTGTGCTGTTCAAAATCTTGACTAAGAGACCGTAGCTTTTCTTGAAGTCTCTTTTCACGGTCTACACTTCCTTGATAAAATTTCATCTCTTTTTCCATCGCCTTCACTTTTTCTTCCATAGCCTTAAACTCGTGAAGGATCAGATAGCTGACTCCACAGTACTTACAAACTTTTTCTTCAGGAGACATCTAGAAAACAGACAGACATACATACATTGAAAGGGTATTTTTTAAATTCTGAAAAGCAAAGTTCCACTGAAGATGTCATTGCAACTATGCCAGTCAGCTGAAGTAAATGTACACTGGACTATGCCACGGAGTAATAATTATGACATTGCTTACATCTGGGTAAAATTTTTAAAACTGGCATGATACCGACTCTGACACAAAATCTTGGAATTAGAAAAGGGTCTTTCAGAGTGATTATTTCTCCGCAGTATCTCTAAGAAAGATTTACCCTTGGAATATTTTCCATAAAATAAAACTAAAGATGATGAAAACATCTTTAAAATTCTTGTTTTAAGATGAGTTTTCCATGAAGTGGAGAGAAATCACTGGCCTTTTACTGCCAGCTGCATTGTGAACCTGGAGATGCTTCTTGGCTTTTTTCAGATCTTATTTTTCCTCATTTATAAAATTCTGGCATTGGACCAAATGAACTCTTAAGTTCCTGTTCAGTTTTTAACATTTTATGATTTTTACAGAATTTAGCAGAATTTATGCCAGAATTCTGTCATAAAACCACAAATAGCAAAAACATTTTGAACCCAACCTCTTTTCTCAATGTTCTTTTCCCTTCACATAGGTACGGTAGATACCTGTGGTAGATTTTCTAGATAGGGAAATGGTGACCACTGAAGTTGAATAACCAGTTGATACATGGAGACACAGGTTAAACCCAAGTCTATCTAAACCCAGCACCTACGCCTATAACCATTTATGTTATATTTATCTGCCATGTGACTGTCAGCTAAATCCTCTTCCTTCCATCAAATAAAATGTTCATACATCTCTAGTCAACATAAGAGCAGTGAAAAATGGAATTTTAAGCAAAGTCAAGAGAGAGGTACTTCTTTTTTCTGTCTCAAGTATATAAATATTCTTCAAGTAGACTACTTGTCCTGCTATTCACAAAGAATGAGAGACGGCTTCATTAAATATTTGCTCCAAGGCACTAAAATGAAAGCAACACTTGAAGGGTTACTTTTAATGCAACCTCCCTTAAGACTGTAGAAACTTCTCCCTCTCCCACTCCCTCTGGCTTGTGTTTCCTCTCCTGTCATGTCTCTGTCAAATAAATGAATAAAATCTTTTTTAAAAAATTGCTTTTAAAAAAAAGAGGGGGGTACCTGGGTGGCTCAGTCATTAAGCATCTGCCTTCAGCTCAGGTCATGATCCCAGAGTCCTGGGATCAAGCCCTGCACGTGGGTCTCTCTGCTCAGTGGAAAGTCTGCTTCTCCCTCTCCCACTCACCCTGCTTGTGTTCTCTCTCTCGCTGTGTTTCTGTGTCAAATAAATAAAATCTTTCTTAAAAATTTCTTTTAAAGATTGTAGAAACTGCTCCCATAACTAGGAGTGACACTACCTCATCTGCCTATCAGTACAATTACACAAGAGTCAGATGAAACAAACTAGTAACAAATTCTTACACAGTAACATTTTGCTCATCTAAAGTTCAATAATAAAAATTTCAAATTAAAAAACATAATACTGTGGGATACAGATGAATGACTATATCAATCATCTAACTGCCAGCAATACCAAATTTACAGATTTGTAAAATAACAAGTTTGGAAGAAATCATAAAGATAACTTGGTTCAAGCTCTGGATGGGTTCCTAAAGTCTATTCCAATCTAGTAAGTCGTTATCGTGACTCTATTTCAACATCCCAAATGATATAAGCAGCCTATCTTCTGATGGCTTTGTCTATCAGGAAATTCCTTCTCATGCTGACCCCAGATCTGCCTCCCTGGAACATCCACTGGCCCTAGACCTCCTAGAAACCATGTGGAACAACACGGAGCTCTTTCTAATACTTAAAAGCAGCTTTCAGGAACACTCCATATCTTCTCTTCTCCAGGTCAACACTTCCAGTTCCCTCAGCTGTTTCCCATATGACATGTTTTTGAATTTCTTGCTTATTCTAAATAATTTCCTCTGAACTTGTTCCAGTGTTCTATATATGTCTCAAAGTATGGTGCCCAGAATTTAATACTCCAGTGTGGTTGGTCTCACTAAAACAGAGTAAGAGAGGGCTCAAACCTCCCTCATTCTAATATCTCATAAGTAATAGCAATGGAAGTATTTTCTACTGCAACCTTAGATCACAACTGTCTTCCATATTTTCAGCAATTATATGTTAATATTATATACTACAACAGGGTTTTGTGTTAAATAAAGGCCCTATTTTTAAAAAGTACTTAGTACAAAATTATCTTTCATTATATTAATTATACCAATCTATTCCTTCCCAACTATGTCTGCTTTTTTAGAGAATCCACCTTCTACGGTACTGACTGCTCTGTTTGGTAAAATGACTAAAACTCTGTCTACCCATCCTCCCTAGCCATGGCTGATTGGGGGATGAGGATTAGATATTAGACCAAGAAGAACCAAGCCCTAAGCTGGTATAAGCCAACCAGACTTATAAGTGTTGAAGACCCAGGTATTTGGGACACCTTTAGGCAGTCTTAATAGAGAAGGATCATATGCAAGGTACAGAGTTAGCCACATTACTGGAATGAGGGAGAAAAATGAGAAGACACACAGAGACAAGATAAGACAAAGATAATGTGGATCCAGAGTAAGAGAGGAGAAAAAGAACCAATGCCCTGAGAATTCCTCACCTCAGTTCCTCTTGAGACCTAGCTGCCCTACTTGCCTTTAGGGGTCCATGCCCAATCTTCCTGCACTACTCCCCTAACCCCTTAAACTACCTATTTCTTATAACCAAAAAACTTCATTCTATTATGTAATAGGTTTTCAGATAGAAATGCAGAAAAATAAATATAATTATAAATGTCAATAAATAAATAACATATATACTTATACATAAATATCTTAGACACACATGTATTTTGAAAATAGGTGTGTCTTAGACTCAGCCTTTATTTACTGACTTTGGTATCCAGGAAATTTTAAACTTTGTGTCTTTTTCAAAACTGATTCTTATAAGTTGCTTTATTCATCCAATTCATTGATTAAAAATATTGACTATGACAAAATTGAGGAAAGAACTCCACAGCATGTCAGCACACTTGAAGAGCTGAAGGTACACTTTTCAGCTGGTTACTAAACTACCCAGTTATCTTTATACTGATTCATATCATCCTCAGGAATATTATGACAAACTTTGTCAAATGTCTTCATAAGGCCCATATTTTCTATGGCTACCACAGTTCCTAGATCTAGTAACTGAAAACAAAATGGAATGGCAGAACCCACATGCCACTTCCCTTAATGAACATAAATTTGGCTCAAGAGTTATTGCTTTCTCTAGTATATCCTCAGAAATCACCTTTTATTTTTTAAGATTTTATTTATTTATTTATTTAAAAGAGTGAGAGCTTGCATGCCTTGCATGAGTTGGGGGAGGGGCAGAAGGAGAGGGAGAGGCAGACTCCCCACTCAGCAGAGAGCCTGATGCCAGGCTGGATCCCAGGGCCCTCAAACCATGATCTAAGCTGAACACAGATGCTTATCTAACTGAGCCACTCAGGTACCCACCCCCATCACTGTCTAATAAATATATTCTAGTATATTGTCTGGGATTGAAATTGAGTTCCCTGGTTGTGATTTATGGTTATTTTACACATGGGATGGCATGTGTACGTTTTCCTCTTACTCTCTCCATGTTCTCAAAGATCACCAAGAGTAGTTCCACAATCCCATTTACTAGTTCCTGTAAATATAATTTATCTAGGTCAAGAGACCTGAACTAATTCAGAGCAGATGGGTATTTTCTTATAATTCCTTTGCTCATTGTGAGTTTTGGTTCCTTCTCATCAATTTGAAAATTATATTTCTTACTTGGAGGCACTTTCATTCTTAACCTTATGCCCATTATTCATGGTTCTTGCCCAGATTCTGGCAAAATGCCTTATCCTCATCCCAAAGAAGACTCTTGCTGGCTGGAGCCTATTTGCAGCCTGATGTACAAATCAGAAAGAGTATACATTTCACAGTTACAAAAGCTATTAGAATGTTATTCTACCACAGCCATTAAAGTGGGGTGGAGGGAGCTGAAATATATGAAGTAATACTTTTTATAGAACAAGTCTTCTAGAAGTTCAACAAAGAGAGCCCAAACATGACATTATGATCTAGGAAACAAGACAATCAAATTACAAAATAATAAGTCCATAAGAAGAGTCTCCAAATTTGGCCTAGTACAATCTGAATCACTGATTGATCTATGCTAAAAAAGGATATTGAACAAAAGTTTTCAATGTTATTAACTTGTAAATAATTTTCCATAAGTAAAACTACAATATTAAGAAATGTAATAACCCTTTTAAATTCTTAGTTTGTATGGGCTAATTACTTAGGACATTTTTGTCAAACTTGAGAAATTATTGAATACTATAATTATGTTCCCAAATGAAGTAAGTAAAAGTTATCTGTTTTTTGTGAAACATAATTTGTGCTTCATTCTTATAACTTATGTTATATCATGTCCTCATTTTGTAAGTAAAATAATGACATGCTGTCATTTTTGACAAAAGAGCTATCATTAGCAGGATGTTTTTGCTTTCTACAAGATGCACTTTGGCGGAAGCATCAACAAATACAGGATATTAAACAAACGTACAGCTCTTTAAAAATAAATTATAAAATAAACTGCTCATGTGCAGTGTTTGTACTTTAAAAATTTTGTTATTTAACATATGTTATTTTAACATAAAAATGATGCAAAATTTTTAAAAGGTTTAATTTTCAAAGTTCTTGTTTGTGCTTTATCTAGAAAAGGCACTCGAGTAACCTACTTATTGCTGCCCATCTGAGGCATTCTCTGCTCCAAAACCCCTCCCAGGCTTTTCATACTTGAATAAGGAAGAAAAAAATAGGTAAATTATTTCACAAAGGTAAGAGTGACAGCAATATAAAATGTTAACCTTTCTAAGAGGCTTTCCATTCAAAAAGATGCAGAGTGTCTAGCTAGTGAATTTCATTAGGATTGGGAGAAACACTTTAAGACAGGACAGTGTACCTCTTGAATCATTAAGTATACAGGCCACCTGACCATTTCATAATACCATCAGGACCCTTCCTTATCAATAAGTCAAACTGCTATACCACCAATTTAAAGATCAACTGGCAAAAAATATCTACAAAAACCCCTATGCCAACATTATAGGTAACAGTGATAATTTATGTGTTTTTTCCTCTAATATCAGTAGCAAGGCATTCTCTCCACTCTTATTCAACATAATGCTGGAAGTTCTAGCCAGGGCAAGAAGGCAAGAAGAAGTAAATGGTATACATACAAGAAAGAAAGAAAAAAAGAAAGAAAAGAAAAGGGAAAGGAAAAGAAAAAGAAAAGAAAACTGTCCCTATTTGAGAGGACATGATTGTCTACATAGAAAATCCCAAGAATCTACAATAAAACTAGAATAAATAAGTTCAAGCAAGATCAATAATCGAAGAATAACATACAAAAACTAATTATATTTGTACAGACTGCCAGTGAACACATGGACAGGGAAATTAAAAATACAACACCGATTGCTCAAAAAAATGAAATACTTAGGCGTAAATCTAACAAAACATATACAGTACTTATACGCTAAAAACTATAAAATGCTGATGAAAAAAAACCAAAGAAGATCCAAATATACAGAAAAACATACTGAAGACTCAAAATATTAAAAATAGCAATTGCTGGGGCGCCTGGGTGGCTCAGTGGGTTAAAGCCTCTGCCTTCAGCTCAGGTCATGATCCCAGAGTCCTGGGATCGAGCCCCACATCGGGTTTTCTGCTTGGCAGGGAGACTGCTTCCCCCTCTCTCTCTGCCTGCCTCTCTGCCTACTTGTGATCTCTGTCTGTCAAATAAATAAATAAATAAATAAATCTTTAAAAAAAATAGCAATTGTCCCCAAATTTATATATATAGGCTTAATTTAATTCTTTCAGCAAAATTTCAGCAAAATGTTTTTAAAGATATAGACGAGATTGTTCTCAAATTTATATGGAAAGGCAAAGGAACCAGAAGAGCTAAAACAATCTTGAAAAAAATGAAGTGGAAAGAATCATTTTACCTGATTTCAAGACATACTATAGCAATCAAGACTGTGTGGTATTAACAGAGTGATGGACACATAGATCAAGGGAACAGAATAGCAAACCCAGAAATAGATCTGCATAAATATGCCAAACTGATTTTTTGCAATGGTCCGAAAGCAACTCAGTGAACAAAAGACAGCCTTTTCAACAAATGGTGATGGAACAATTGGATACTCATAGATTAAAAGGAAGGAGGTAAGGAAGAAGAGAGGGAGGGAAGGGAGGGAGGGAGGAAGGAAGGGAGGAAGAGAGTGAGGGAGGGAGGGAGGAAGGAACAAATGAACAGACTTATATTAAACTCATACCGGATACAAAAATTAACTCAAAATGATTATGGACCTAAATGTAAAACATAAAAATATAATTTTAGGAAAAAAAAAAAACCTAGGAGAAAATCTTCAGGATTTTCTAGGCAAAGAATTCTTATACTTGATACCAAAAGCATAATCCATAAATGGAAAAACTGGTAAGCTGGATTTTATCAAAATCTGAAACTTTTGGGGCGCCTGGGTGGCTCAGTGGGTTAAGCCGCTGCCTTCGGCTCAGGTCATGATCTCAGGGTCCTGGGATCGAGCCCCGCATCGGGCTCTCTGCTCAGCGGGGAGCCTGCTTCCTCCTCTCTCTCTGCCTGCCTCTCTGCCTGCTTGTGATCTCTCTCTGTCAAATAAATAAATAAAAATCTTTAAAAAAAAAAAAATCTGAAACTTTTGTTCTGCAAAAGACCCTGCGAAGAGGCTAAAAAGACAAGCTATAGACTAGGGAAAAAATATTTACAAATCACATATCTGACAAAGGACTATTATCTAGATTACACAAGAACTCCCAAAACTCAACAGTTTTAAAAAAATCCAATTAGAAAATACATGGTCAAACGACATGAAGAGAGACTTCACTTAAGAAGATATATACAGACGCCAAATAAGCACATGGAAAGACATTCATCATTAGCCATTACAAAATGCAAGTTAAAACTACAATGAGGTATCACTATATACCTATCCAAAAAGCTAACATAAACACTAATGACATCAAATTCTGGTAAAGATGCAGAAAAGGTGGCTCACTCATACATTGCTGGTGAGAATGCAAAATGGGACAGACCTCTGGAAAAGTTTGACAGTGTCTTAAAAAACTAAACATGCAACTACTGTACAATTCAACTACTGTAGAAATTGTACTCTTGGGCATTTATCCCAGGAAAATGAAAACATATGTTCACATAAAAACATGCACATGAATATTTACAGCTTTATACATAATAGTCAAAAACTGGAAAAAACCCAGACGTCCTTTGACAGGTTAAACTGCAGTGCCTTCATCCCTGGAATACTTCTCAGCAGCAGAAAGGAATAAACTAATAATACATGCAACAGCCTGAATAAAGTTCCAGAGAATTACACTGAGGGGAAGAAGGAATCCCAAAAGGTTACATATTGCTTGATTCCATTTAGATAACATAATTCTTGGAGATCGATGTTTCCCAGGGGTCATGAATTAGGTGTGGGAGATGGGGTAGTGGAGGTGTGTGAAGAGGTAGGCTGAGGTGAGTGTGGCTATTAAAGGGCAACATGAGGACCCCTTGCTGTGATAGAACTGTTCTACACCCTGACTGTATTGATGTCAATATCCTGGTCATAAGACTGCAGTTTTGCCAGATATTACCACTAGGGGAAACTGGGGAAAGAAGAGGGGGCTGGGGAAGAAGAAGCTGTCATCTCTTGGTATTATTTCTTGCAACTACATGTGAATCTACAATGATCTCAAAATAAGAAGCTTACTTTTATAATAATAAAAGTAAAAATAAATCTGAAATACAGAGATTAACCCATAAAGAAATTTTATTGAGCAATTTTAAGAAATGTTGGCTTCACATATAAATTATACATGACACACTCAGTTTATATAAATATACTTCCAAAGTGTATTTCCCCCAATACCTATTTTTCCACCGGGAAACCTCACCTTAGACTCTATGACTCTCTGCAGCCAGCCAACAAAAGTATTTTGGACTTAAAAAAAAAAGGTATTTTGGACTACAGATTGACAGATGCAGAGTTTTCAAGATTCAGAGTACTATTTAAAAAAAAAAAAAAACAGGGGCGCCTGGGTGGCTCAGTGGGTTGAGCCTCTGCCTTTGGCTCAGGTCATGATCTCAGGGTCCTGGGATCGAGCCCCGCATCGGGCTCTCTGCTCAGCAGGGAGCCTGCTTCTCCCTCTCTCTCTCTCTGTCTGCCTCTGCCTACCTGTGATCTCTGTCAAATAAATAAATAAAAAATCTTTAAAAAATAAATAAATAAAAATTTAAAAATAAATAAATAAATAAATAAATAAATAACTGTTTTCCTAACGAACTATCTTGGATCACAATATTAAGTGAATAGTCTCTCCAAAAATTACAATGCTTCCTATTTCTTTTGTCATTAAGTTTTAAAACTACCACTGCTTAAAATCACAACACACATACACCCACATACAAATATCACTTTTCCAGGACGCTAGTGCTAACATTTCTATGACTATATTCTCTTTCTTTTTCTACTTTAACTCAACACCAAATCTGACCCTAGCCAC